CCGCGCAGGTTCGATCCCTGCTCACAGCGGTTACTATAAGAGCTTTTAGGAACTATTTATATGAGGGTATTGATCAGTGCAGTGTTTCCCAAACCTCTCCTGGCATACCCCTTGTCCTGCATGCTTTAGATTTCTCCCTGCTCCAGCACAGGTAATTCAAAGGATCAGGTCATAATTAACCCACTGAAACTGCTTGATAAGAAGCGAATCTTTCGAATCACCTGGGCTGCAGCAGGGAGAGATCTAAAGCATGCAGGACAAGGGGTACTCCAGGAGAGGCTTGGGAAACACTGGATTAGTGCATCAAAGATGAGCCAATTGACTTCAAGAGCAAAACTGACAATGTCTTTTAAGTTCAGCTTTGACCTCATTAAAATGGACTGAAATTTTTCACCTCTCTGTCACGCCCCCTGTCCCTGCTTGGGCCAAGTCTTCTCCCAAACCGCACTGTAATTACTAGCTTTTTTTCACTGGAAACATTTATCCAGCTGAGAAAGGAAACTGAGCACAAACCCCCATTATGGCTCTGGGAAAGGGCACAATTGGTCAAAGCCTTACCTAAATGCAATATTAATTTCTCCAGGTGGCCCATCATGCGTGTCTTTTGATTATGAGAAGAAATTCCATGCAAACAGGGAGACAACCAGCAAAATCCACACAATATGTTATTAAAATGAACCCCGCATTTTGAATACAGTGCGCATGGATGGTGCTGGATATTGTGTCTTCGGCCACAAAAGTAGGTGAGTTTCTTGCTTTGAGAAAATTTACTGTTTTCCAGTGGAAAGTAAAAGTCCAATTCTCGTAGTAAGGTTTTGACTCACCACCTTTGTTTCTTTTCACCGTCAACTGCCTTAAAGTACCCTGCGTCTTTCCAATTGTGCTACTGGTGCTTGCTTGGTGTTCTCTATGCTTAATTTCACTTTTTATGGATATAGGTGCTTCATGGTAATATTGCTGGCTATCAGCTTTGGATGCAGGTATTTATATATTCATATGGAGTGAACTGTGTGGGAATTACTACCATTGAAAATGACATTCCTGTCCAAATATTGAAGGACCACAATGTATGTGCTGTAGTTTGTAATATTTTACGATGATTTATGGCTTTTGAGTTGGGGACCTAACCATCTCTCAACCAAATACATGCATTATGTGGTATCCCATTCTGAAAAGGATTCCATATTTCAGCATGAAGGCTTTTCACACACTTTGTGGCAAAATCCCCTTCAGGTGTGATGAGTACAGAGAATTAAAGACTCATGCTCCAGGTGAGGCTTGAACTCACAACCTCGGCATTGCTTCACTGCATACTGCTATATAAGTACCGCGCGCTAACCGATTGCGCCACTGGAGCTGAGAACACATTTGCAATGTGGGATCATATTGCTGAGAAATTGTGCTGATGGACCTTGATAGATTTTTTTTTTCTTTTGCTTCTAATTGTGTCGGGAAGGTCTCTTATATTAAACTCATTTCTTTGCTTTATTGCTCCTGACTGAAGCCATCAGTCTGGATCCACCATCCTTTAGGAGAATGCACTTCATTTTATCACTTGGAAGGAAGGAATTCAGCTTCTTCTCGGCTAGCTTCAGCTAAACAAATACCCAACTTATCCTTTGCTGAAATATTTTCTCTCAACAGTTTTCCACTTCGCCTAAGACAATCTTAAATGATCTTGGGCCCAGAGAAGGCAGCAGTGTTTTTCAATCTTCTTTACATATGCTTTTGTGTTTATATGGTACAATTTTACCTTGTGTTTTTGGATGCTGCAACCAACTTTGTCCACTTTAAATAGTTTTCAGAAGTCTTTCTGAGCCCATGCACTTATTTTTACTATGGAATTCTGTCTGTTTTTAATGCAGTGTCAGCTGAAGGACTGAGGATCACAGACATTTGATATCGGTTCTCAGCCCTGCCCTGTGAGTACAGAGATTAATTTGGATTCTCTGAGTATTTTAATGACATTGTGTACTGTTGATGAGGAAATCCCCAATTTTTTTCAATTTTCTGCCAAGAAACGTTATTCTTAAATTCTTGCACTATTTGCCCACACTTTCTTTCACAGAGTGGTGAAGCCCTCACCATCTGTACTTCTACAAGATGGCCTCTCTGGGATGCTCTCTTCATTCCCAATCATGTTGCTGAACTGTTTCCAAGTAGCCTGATTAGCTGTGAGATGTTCCACCAAATGTATTTTTTTTAACATCATACAACTTATCCAGTCTTTTGTTGCCCCCGTCCCAAATTTTCTGACACGTGTTATCAACTGACATCATGGCTCTCAGCGGAAAGTGTTCCGGGAAGGCTGCTCATGTGTCTCCTTGCTCATGATTCCTCAGCGCTCACTCCTAGCAACTTATTGCCAGGGTCCAGAAGCAATACTTCCCTGTGATTTCAAAGCTTTTTTCCAAATGTGCAGCCATCTATTGCAAGAAAGCTGTATTTCCTAGTAAATTAATGATCCTTCCTTTTAAATGCCAATAGTGACATGCGAGTCATTAAAACAGTGTAGACATCCTGAAAGTATGCATCTATGGATCCTCTGTTTGGAAGAGAATTTTAAGGAACTTTGGATTGGTGTCCACGTTTCCAGCAGTTCAATGCTTTTTCCCGATGTGCAACCATTTATTGCTTAGAAGATGCATTTCCTTATGAAGTAATGATCCTGCCTTTGAAATGCCAGCAATGTTGTTTAGGTTGCTGTGATGGCCGAGAGGTTAAGGCGTTGGACTCGAAATCCAATGGGGTTTCCCCGCGCAGATTCAAACCCTGCTCACAGCGATTTCATTGTAGGCTTTCAGGACAAACCATTTGTGGGATACTTATCAATGCACCAAAAACAAGCTAGAAGACTTCATTACCCAGAACATGCTCTCTGGGGGTAAAAATCAGAGCCATCTGCATCTTGATCAACCATGATAATCATTAGACCTTGGGGCCAACCAGGTTAATAAGTGCACAGTGCAGCATGCATGTCAAAAAAATTGCCTGTGAAGCAATGCGACCTTATTTTTCTCTGCCATAGCAAGCTAAAATGACCATAATGGAAGTGAGTGAGTGAGTGAGTGAGTCACATTATTCTCATACTTAATATCTCAAGAATTGTGTGACACCATAATCTTCTAACTTTGCACATCAACAGATATAAAGTAGCAAATGAGTTGATTAAAATTTGGTTTAATCTGTTAAGTTGCATCATACCAAATTCATATGCAAAAAAGCACCGCATTGCACGGTCCTGTACAATCTAATGGGACTGCATGTTGCTTCTATGAGTTAGCTTGCTAACCAAGCTAGCAAGCACGTTAATAAAATTATTAGCGATTCAGTCAAAATCTGATAAAAGCTCGATTTCACCAGTAGTTATGCCAGCGATGTTTGTTCTGTGTTTCTGGCTCAGCTGAAGTGTACTGCACTAACGTTACTTGCGTATACCTTCATTTCACGTTTACGGTAGCCAGCTAACTACCAATACCGGCCTGCAAAGCACAAAATAACACTCAATTCTGTGCAAATCAGTCTTGCTCATCTGGCCGATTGCGCTTTTCATTTAAAGGTGTCGCGTTTTTGCCATGCTGTATCTGCATGTTTTTAATTGTGACCTAGCTTTCACCTCAGCAGTTTTTCCCCCAGCCCTCATTCTGATAACGCAAGTAACTTTGACATCTAAAAGCTCCATCCAATTCTATACATTTCGTTTAGGTTTATCAGCATCGGTGTAAATTCATTCGGTACTCTCACAGAGTCAATGGCTGCTTAAGGAAGTGCATCATTTGCACTCATTTGTTGCTGTTTTGAACTTTGAACTGGGCTGTTTTAGCTTTTTAAGCTTGCTGGCTAGCTAGTTAGCAACATCATAGATTGATCAGATCTTAGACCACAGATCTAGGAGCAGCCTTTCAATATAAAAGAGCTGTCGCCCAAAGTGGAATCTTTGAAGTTTGGCAGCATTTTTGTACGTGAGCTTAGTTTTAATGTAGCTCTGTAGACAGCTGGCTACTGTACAAGTCAAATTATGTTGGCTAGGCATGAATAACATAAGCCCTTACGTTTACCAGCAAAATACATTTCCTAAACAGACCCTAAGATCACAAGCGGTGCTAGCATACTGATATCAGGCTGCAAAGTTGGCTTTTTGGCTGTCAGATTTGATTGACCACCACAAATATCAATTTCATGCACAGTAAATGTGTTCGGAATTCGTGAAGTTGCATCATGTGTAATAAATATGCAACAACGCGCCAAATCGCAGGGTCATATTCAATTTCGTAAGATTGTATTTTGCTTTTTCCTCAAGGTTGAAAGAAATACAGAGTTGGATTTTCAAAAAAAAAAATGTTTAGACTGATACAAAGGTAATGCAATGTCAATAAAAAGAGCTCAGCTTTGAACTTACATTTGTGCTGTCAAATGTTGTCCTCAGCCGGGGCATCAGTTTGAATTGGTTAATGGCTTCAGTGGGTTGGGATCTCAAGTCGTGTAAGAGTGGACACAATTATGTCATGCAAACGTGTGAAAATACTTCCTGAAAGGATACATCCAGGGATCCTCAGTTTGTAGGACATTTTTGAGGAACATTGGATTGGCGTCGTTGATGGGGCGACGTCGGGAAACCGTGCAAGAACCATGCAAGAAGAGAAGAAATAAGGACGTACTGTGTATTTTTAGATAGAGACATGAGACTTTCTTTCCTTAAAAGTATCGCTAGAAAAGACGTCGCTTTGTCATCATCGTACATGAGTCAATCTGCTGCCAGCGTCGGTCGTTGTTGACCGACGTCATGGCTTTCAACTGAAAGTGTTCTGGGACGGTTGCTCTCAAGTTTCCTTGCTCATGTCTCCTCAGAGCTCCCTCCTTGCAACTTATTGCCAAGGTCAAGAAGCAGTGCTATGCTGTGATTTCAATGAATTTACTGATGTGCAGCCATCTCTGACAAGGCACATTTTCTTGTGAGGTCACAATCATTGCATTTAAATACTGGAAATTGTGTGTAGGTTGCTGTGATGGCCGAGAGGTTAAGGCGTTGGACTTGAAATCCAATGGGGTTTCCCCAGCAAGAGGTTCGATCCCTGCTCACAGCGGTTACTGTAAGAGCTTTTAGGAACTATTTAAATGAGGGTATTGATCAGTGCAGTGTTTCCCAAACCTCTCCTGGCGTACCCCTTGTCCTGCATGCTTTAGATTTCTCCCTGCTCCAGCACAGGTAATTCAAAGGATCAGGTCATAATTAACCCCCTGAAACTGCTTGATAAGAAGCGAATCTTTCAAATCACCTGGGCTGCAGCAGGGAGAGATCTAAAGCATGCAGGACAAGGGGTACTCCAGGAGAGGCTTGGGAAACACCGGATTAGTGCATCAAAGATGAGCCAAATGACTTCAAGAACAAAACTGAAAATGTCTTTTAAGTTCAGCTTTGACCTCATTAAAATGGACTGAAATTTTTCACCTCTCTGTCACGCCCCCTGTCCCTGCTTGGGCCAAGTCTTCTCCCAAACCGCACTGTAATTACTAGCTTTTTTTCACTGGATACATTTATCCAGCTGAGAAAGGAAACTGAGCACAAACCCCCATTACGGCTCTGGGAAAGGGCACATTTGGTCAAAGCCTTGCCTATGGGCAATATTAATTTCTCCAGGTGGCCCATCATGCATGTCTTTTGATTATGAGAAGAAATTCCATGCAAACAGGGAGACAACCAGCAAAATCCACACAATATGTTATTAAAATGAACCCAAGATTTTGAATACAGTGCGCATGGATGGTGCTGGATATTGTGTCTTCGGCCACAAAAGTAGGTGAGTTTCTTGCCTTGAGAAAATTTACTGTTTTTCAGTGGAAAGTAAAAGTCAATTCTCGTAGTAAGGTTTTGACTCACCACCTTTGTTTCTTTTCACCGTCAACTGCCTTAAAAGTCGTCTTTCAATTGTGCTACTGGTGCTTGCTTGGTGTTCTCTATGCTTAATTTCACTTTTTATGGATATAGGTACTTCATGGTAATATTGCTGGCTATCAGCTTTGGATGCAGGTATTTATATATTCATATGGAGTGAACTGTGTGGGAATTACTACCATTGAAAATGACATTCCTGTCCAAATATTGAAGGACCACAATGTATGTGCTGTAGTTTGTAATATTTTACCATGATTTATGGCTTTTGAGTTGGGGACCTAACCATCTCTCAACCAAATACACGCATTATGTGGTATCCCATTCTGAAAAGGATTCCATATTTCAGCATGAAGGCTTTTCACACACTTTGTGGCAAAATCCCCTTCAGGTGTGATGTGTACGGAGAATTAAAGACTCATGCTCCAGGTGAGGCTTGAACTCACAACCTCGGCATTGCTTCACTGCATACTGCTATATAAGTACCGCGCACTAACCGATTGCGCCACTGGAGCTGAGAACACATTTGCAATGTGGGATCATATTGCTGAGAAACTGTGCTGATGGACCTTGATAGATTTTTTTTTCTTTTGCTTCTAATTGTGTTCGGAAGGTCATTTATATTAAACTCATTTCTTTGCTTTATTGTTCCTGACTGAAGCCATCAGTCTGGATCCACCATCCTTTAGGAGAATGCACTTCATTTTATCACTTGTAAGGAAGGAATTCAGCTTCTTCTTGGCTAGCTTCAGCTAAACAAATATCGAAAAGCAAAAGAAAAAAAAATCTATCAAGGTCCATCAGCACAGTTTCTCAGCAATATGATCCCACATTGCAAATGTGTTTTCAGCTCCAGTGGTGCAATCGGTTAGCGCGCCGTACTTATATAGCAGTATGCAGTGAAGCAATGCCGAGGTTGTGAGTTCAAGCCTCACCTGGAGCATGAGTCTTTAATTCTCCGTACACATCACACCGAAGGGGATTTTGCCACAGCGTGTGTGAAAAGCCTTCATGCTGAAATATGGAATCCTTTTCAGAATGGGATACCACATATTGCGTGTATTTGGTTGAGAGATGGTTAGGTCCCCAACTCAAAAGCCATAAATCATAGGAAAATATTACAAACTACAGCACATACATTGTGGTCCTTCAATATTTGGGCAGGAATGTCCTTCTGAATGGTAGTAATTCCCACACAGTTCACTCTATATGAATATATAAATACCCGCATCCAAAGTTGATAGCCAGCAATATTACCCTGGAATACCTATATCCATAAAAAGTGAAATTAAGCATAGAGAACACCAAGCAAGCACCAGTAGCACAATTGGAAAGACGCAGGGTGGAATTTCTTCTCATAATCAAAAGACATGCATGACGGGCCACCTGGAGAAATTAATATTGCCCATAGGTAAGGCTTTGACTAAATGTGCCTTTTCCCAGAGCCATAATGGGGGTTTGTGCTCAGTTTCCTTTCTCAGCTGGATAAAGTATCCAGTGAAAAAAGCTAGTAATTACAGTGCGGTTTGGGAGAAGACTTGGCCCAAGCAGGGACAGGGGGCGTGACAGAGAGGTGAAAAATTTCAGTCCATTTTAATGAGGTCAAAGCTGAACTTAAAAGACATTTTCAGTTTTGTTCTTGAAGTCATTTGGCTCATCTTTGATGCACTAATCCGGTGTTTCCCAAGTCTCTCCTGGCGTACCCCTTGTCCTGCATGCTTTAGATCTCTCCCTGCTCCAGCCTAGGTGATTCAAAAGATTTGCTTATTATCAAGCAATTTCAGTGGGTTAATTATGACCTGATCCTTTGAATCACCTGTGTTGGAGCAGGGAGAAATCTAAAGCATGCAGGACAAGGGGTACACCAGGAGAGGTTTGGGAAACACTGCACTAATCAAAACCCTCATTTAAATAGTTCCTAAAAGCTCTCATAGAAACTGCTGTGAGCAGGGATCGATCCTGCGCTGGGAAACCGCATTGGATGTTAAGTTCATTGCCTTAACCTCTCGGCCATCACAGCAACCTACACCCAGTGTCCAGTATTTAAATGGAATGATTGTGACCTTACAAGGAAACGTGCCTTGTCAGAGATGGCTGCACATCAGTAAAAATCATTGAAATCATAGCATAGCACTGCTTCTGGACCTTGGCAATAAGTTGCGAGGAGGGAGCTCTGAGGAGACATGAGCAAGGAAACTTCAGAGCAACCTTCCCAGAACACTTTCAGTTGAAAGCCATGACGTCGGTCAACAACGACTGCCCCAGGCAGCAGATTGACTCATGTACGATGATGACAAAGCGATGTCTTATCAAGTGATACTTTAAAGGAAAGTCTGTTTAGGAAATGTATTTTGCTGGAAAACATAAGGGCTTGTATTATTCATACCTAGCCAACATAATTTGACTTGTACCGTAGCCAGCTGGCTACAGAGCTACATTGAAACTAAGCTCACGTACAAAAATGCTGCCAAACTCCAAAGAGTCCACTTTGGGCGACAGCTCTTTTATATTGAAAGGCTGCTCCTAGATCTGTGGTTTAAGATCTGATCAATCTATGAGGTTGCTAGCTAGCTGGCCAGAAAGCTTAAAAAGCTAAAACAGCCCAGTTCAAAGTTCAAAACAGCAACAAATGAGTGCAAATGATGCACTTCCTTAAGCAGCCATTGACTCTGTGAGAGTACTGAATGGGTTTACACCGATGCTGATAAACCTAAACGAAAGGTACAGAATTGGATACAGCTTTTAGATGTCAAAGTTACTTGCGTTATCATCAGCATGAGGGGCTGGGGGAAAAACAGCGACAAGCTGAGGTGAAAGCTGAGTCACAATTAAAAACATGCAGATACAGCATGGCAAAAACGCGACACCTTTAAATGAAAAGCGCAAGCAGCCAGATGAGCAAGACTGATTTTCACAGAATTGAGTGTTATTTTGTGCCTTGAAGGCCGGAATTGGTAGTTAGCTGGCTACTGTAGACGTGAAATGAAGGTATATGCAAATAACATTAGTGCAGTACACTTCAGCTGAGCCAGAAACACAAAACAAACATTGCGGCCATAACTACTGGTGAAATCGAGCCTTTATCAGATTTTGACTGAATGACTAATAATTTTATTAATGCGCTCGCTTGCTTGGTTAGTAAGCTAACTCATAGAAGCAACATGCAGTCCCATTTGATTGTACAGGCCAATGCGATGCGGTGCGTTTTTGCATATGAATTTGGTATGATGCAACTTAATGGATTAAACCAAATTTTAATCAGCTCATTTGCTACTTTATATCTGTTGATGTGCAAAGTTAGAAGATTATGGTGTCACACAATTCTTGAGATATTAAGTATGAGAGTAATGTGACCCACTCACTCACTTCCATTATGGTCATATTAGCCCGCTATGGCAGGGAAAAATAAGGTAACATTGCTTCACAGGCAATTTTTTTGACATGCATGCTGCATTGTGAACTTAAGAACCTGGTTGGCCCCAAGGTCTAATGATTATCATGGTTGATCAAGATGCAGATGGCTCTGATTTTGACCCCCAGAGAGTCTGTTCTGGCTTATGAAGTCTTCTAGCTTGTTTTTGGTGCATTGATAAGTATCCCACAAATGGTTTGTCCTGAAATCCTTTTATGAAATCGCTGTGATCAGGGTTTGAATCTGCGCAGGGAAACCCCATTGGATTTCGAGTGCAACGCCTTAACCTCTCAGCCATCACAGGAACCTGTATAAAACTGTTGGCATTCAAAACATAGGAACATTAATTTACAAGGAAGTGCATCTTTTGTGCAATAAATGTTTGCACATCAGGAAAAGCATTGAAATAACAGCAAAGGATTGCTTTTGGACCCTGACAGTAAGTCGCGAGGAGGGAGCTCTGTGGAGACATGAGCGAGGAAACACAAGAACTGCCTCCCTGACACACTCTCAGCTGAACGCAATGATTTCCATCGGTAACAATAGGCGCTGGCAGCAGATCACGCCATGTTTCATGATCAGAAAGGGACGTTGTTTCAGAGGAAAGTACACTCATGCCTCTAAAAACATGAGTATGTCCTCCTTTCTTCTCATCTCACATAGTTTCTGCATTTCTTTCCATCAATCTCTGATGGGAGGAGCAAATATGCAAACAAAAGATGCATGGAGGGTAACAAGGATGCAATTTAAGAGAACTGAGATTCATCACAAGGTTGTGGCTGCTTTGCCCTCTTAAAACTTCAGGAGGCTTGTGACCTCTTCCTGGTTTTTTCAGTAGGGCCTATTCCAATGTCACCTCCTCTCCCTTCCTCCATGACCAGGAATCTGAACATGTAGCCTTCACCCGAGTGCTGTTCCAGGACTGCTGGAAACAAGGACACCAATCTGAAATTCCACCAAGATGTCTACTCTAAATGGATGATCCCTACATGCATCCTTTTAGAAGTATTTTCACATGTTTACGTGACATCATTGCGTCCACTCCCACATGACCTTAAATCCCAGCCCACCTACACACATTAATCAATTCAAACTGATGCCAGAGCTGAGGACAACATTTCCGTGCACAAATGTAATTCTGATAGGACACTTTGTCAAAGAGAATATTTATTGAAAGCAAACAAGCATACATTGAGTTTGGCGGCATGGCTCTGTTCGAGAGATCCTTGCCCGTCCAGCGTGGAACCAAAGGCAGGGAGCTGTAATTAACCCAACTTCCATAGAACAGAGCCTATAGCAACAATGACCTCAAAAAGAAGAGATATTGTTATTGAACGACAGTTTAGTCATATGAGAACAAAATTACAGAATGCTAAAAATGGATGGGAGGAGCTAGGGAGGAGGAGGGATGTTAAGCGTACGTGCTGCGGAGCCGCTTCTCAGAATGTGAGCTTAAGTAAACTAGCATATAATCAATCAAGCAATCATGTGACAGCAAATCAGATTACATTCATGAGCAATCAGGTGATTCTCCAGCACGAGAAGCGGCTCCTATAAGTTAGCAAGCTTGACTCCGTGCCTATCAGAATTTACGTCAAGCTCCATTTCTGATAGGACACTTTGTCAAATAGAATATTTATTGAAAGCATACAAGCATACATTGAGTTTGGCGGCATGGCTCTGTTCGAGAGATCCCTGCCTGTCCAGCGTGGAACCGAAGGCAGGGAGCTGCAATTAACCCCCCAAAACAGAACCATGCTGACTCACGCCAATGAATGAAATATGGAGCTTCCATAGGTTTAATGGCAGCCCGGCGGCTAGCACAATTTCTCTTAAAGCTAAATACGAGAGAAATACTCCATGTGAAGTGTATTATGTGTGGTGACAGCCCAGCGGCTGGCATGATTTCTCTTGAAGCCGAATACAAGAGAAATATTCTATGTAATGTGTACCACATGTCAGCCTGGCAGCTGGCACAATTTCTCTTGAAGCCAAACACAAGAAAAATAATTATGTGAAGTGTACTATGTGTCATGACAGCCCGGCGGCTGGCAGAATTTCTCTTGAAGCCAAATACAAGAGAAATATTCTATGCGAAGTTTTCTATGTGTCGTGACAGCCCCGCGGCTGGCACAATTTCTCTTGAGCCAAATACAAGAGAAATATTCTATATGAAGTGTACTATATGTAGTGACAGCCCGGCGGCTGGCACAATTTCTCTTGAAGCCAAACACGAGAGAAATATTCTACATGAAGTGTACTGTGTGTAGTGACAGCCCGGCGGCCGGCACAAGTTCTCTTGAAGCCAAACACAAGTGAAATATTCTCTGTGAGTGTACGATGTGTAGTGCCAGCCGCCGGGCTGGCACTATTTCTCTTGAAGCCAAACACAAGAGAAATATTCTATGTGAGTGTTCTATGTGTCGTGACAGCCCAGCGGCTGGCACAATTTCTCTTGAAGTCAAACACAAGAGAAATATTCTATGGGAGTGTACTATGTGTCGTGACAGCCCACGGCTGGCACAATTTCTCTTGAAGCCAAACACAAGAGAAACATTCTATGAGATAGTACTAGTGTAGTGACAACCTGGTGGCTGGCACAATTTCTCTTGCAGCCAAATGCAAGGAAGACATTCTATGTGAGACTGTGCTGTGACAGCCTAGCAGCTGGCACAATTCTCTTGAAGCTGTATACAATGAAATAATCTATGTGAAGTGTAGTATGTGTAGAGACAGCCCGGCGGCTGGCACAATTTCTCTTGAAGCCAAATACAAGAGAAATATACTATGTGAGGTGTATTATGTGTAGTGACAGCCCGGCGGCTGGCATAATTTCTCTTGAAGCCAAACACAAGAGAAATATTCTAAATGTAGTGACAGTCCTCTCAAAGCAGTATCATGAGAATTATATTATATGATTTGAAGAGTATAACATGAAGGCTGATACCTATAATGATTGAAGTGTATGTTGTGGTGAATGACATAGTATGGGTGCTGAGCAGTTGCACTTCGTGCCCTGTCAATGTGTATTCTGAACGACGCATGAAACAGATACAAGTACAAGAGGATTTTGTTTAACATACAAAACATGGTAACAATTTACACAATCTTACTCATTCGTTTTGAGCTTCCACAATGTCCTTAATTCATGGGTGAAAATAAAGTTCGTGGCTGAAAATGTCCAATGTCCTGTGGCCTTTGATATCGTAATTAGGCCACGAAAACGGAGTGTTGCTGCTCGAATATGGAGTGAGAGAGGAGTGTAGAGCTGAGGGAGAGGCCATAATACTGACAAATGAGGCAGAGCTGAGCAGCAAACAGGAACAGGTTTCCGAGCCTCTGTGACGAACAAGGCAACTCAATTGGTCACGATGCTTTTCATAGTAAACGCTGGTCTGAACCCCCTCAAAAGCAAACCAGTGGCGACAGTGGCAAGGAAAAACTCCCTATGTGGCTCAAATATAGGAAGAAACCTTGGGAGGAACCAGACTTAAGAGGGGAGGTCCATCCTCCTCTGACCGTCCCAGGGTATGAGTTCATGGTTGCCGCAATGCGAAGGGGATTGTTGAAAAGCAGCCGAGAATTTGTAGTTTGCTGAATAGATGCCA